GTAATAAAAACTATCCCAGTTGTAATGCCACTTCTGTTCACTGCTCTAGTATCTGTAAAGGGCTTAAAAAAAAAAAGTAAGACTTATTTTTACACTAGGGAAAATAGAAAGCTGACTTCCTCTTTGGAGTTTTCCCAGGAAACTACTTTGTAAAGACAAATTTAAATCTTTCTGTTTTCTGGCCTTGAAGGTGGTAAATATGATTGTGGTTTTATCCATTTTTATTGAAAATGAAACAGAGTTCAGACCGTCCGGCTGTGCGTCATTTGTTGGATGGCTGCCACAGACTAATGCAGACGTCCCACTGGGAGACCAGAGAAGAGCTATACTTTGATTCACCAGATTGTGTTAAATAGTCCAGCTGTTGCGATTTGAAAGATAGTTACCTCAGAAGTGAAATAAAAATGAACTTGGCATTTATGCCTCAAACCATTTTTATACTGTTTGGCAATCAGCTTTTCAGAGGTAGCATTTTATAAAATAACTCTCACCGCTTAAAAGTTTCATTCACTGTAATGTTCAAAATGTCCCACCTTTATATTATCAGTAAAATTAAGCTTGAGTGATATGCAGAATTTGCATGAAATAAGCATTTCCCCCTTCATTTCATGAGCTTTGATTGTATTCAATTGAGCTCAGAACCATGTCGATTAGGGCTCTTTTGGGCATTAGTTAATTTGAATTGCAGTCGAAATGTTAGCTCGAATGTTGTTGAATATAATTGGAACGTGGAAAGTTGATTTTGAAAGGAATTTCATTGAATGCAAACAATGATGTGCTTTTTAAAAATTAGAATGCTGCGCTTTCCTCTCTTGTGACAGTTTGAGAAATCACCAAATCCTTTTATCAAGTTCAGCTTTGGCAGAACCATTTGCAGTTGTTCTGATTCTTCTGGTACTGGTACGCTTCGGAGTCAGGTCTTTCCTTTTGCCAGCAAGGAGCCCCGCCTGCCAGAGCCCCACATCCTGGCTCTCCTGCAGTTGGGAACAGTAGCTGCTTTCTAAAAGGGCACCCACGTTGTACTTGGGCATTAGGCTTTGTAGGGTAGATTGGTATATTGTGTCCTCACTTTTATTTTGCTTGTCGGTTTTTGTTTTTGTCTCAAAATCACCTTTGAGCACATGGTCTAAAATGACTCATGAAAAATAATCTGTTTGAATGGACCATAAATGACTGCCAGTATGTTGTAGCAAGAAAAAGTATTGGCCAGGAAATCAGGATTCCAGAGTCTTTGTCCTTTACCCATTGTTAACAGTGTGTGCCATTGGACAAATCATTTCACCTCACTCTTCTGGAGTCTTCTCCTGACAAGTAACAGACTTAGACTAGCTCACATCAGTGATCCCTTCTGGTCAGAGCGTCCCAGGGTTGAAGTCTGACTTCCTGCCACCAATAACATGTAAGTTTTACTTGCAGACTTGGCTGCATATGGGAGGAGGGCTGCCATTACTTTTTATGAATACTGACTTGTCATTGCTAATTTTTGGTCAGTGTCTTTAGTTGCTGTATTAAAGTAGAAAAAAAAATGAAAAGAATAGTAGTCGAGCACATTCCCTATTGGATTGCTGCAGTTGTGCTTCCAGGATTTCTGTTTGGGCAAGAAGCTTAGACTTATCCCTCTAGAACTGCCACTGTGGCTACCTTGAACAAGAGCCTGGGTTCGGCACTGTCCCCGAAGGGACAGCTCTCTCGCTGTCCCTTAGGGTGGGATAGAATAGAATGAGGCACAGGAAGGCCCCTCATTCCAGAAGGAACCTTGGGCAGCTCCCCAGGGAAACTAAGAATGGGCCTAATGATGTCAAACCAGGGGAAGTCCAAACTACAGAGGAAAGAAAAACAAACCAAGGGGTAGCCTGAGGGGTGGACTATTTTTTCACAGATCTGAAAGACGCAGATGTAAATGGGAGTTTAGAAGGAAATAAATCCATAAAGAGGCTAGAATTAGCCTGTGGTATCCATGCCACAGGAGAAGATGCCTTTGGGAAACAGCATGGTGCTTGTGGACGAGGCAGGAGACGGGAGCCAGTACCCGACTCTTACCCTGACTGCTGCTGCTGAGCTGTGTGGTGTAGGCCAGGCTCTCCCCCCTTCTGCACACCTTGTCATCTTCATTGCAGGACAGATGAGACTACAGGATTGCCCCAGTCCCTTTCTGCTTTAACACACTGGGGTTCCAAGGCAGTGGTCATTATCCTTGAAAAAACATTTTTTCTGCTTCAGTGAAGATTCAGAGAAATTGTGCACTGTGCCTCATTCAGTGTCAGCTAACAGAGGGGTTCTCAGGCTGGCCCACAAGTGACCTAGGAGGCTAACCTGCAGTTGCGAAGCTAACTTCAGGACAGATGAATGGTTCTCTGGACTGAGATGATTCCAGGACAGTTGCAGTTTGACAATACAGGTTTCTGAGTTTTCAGTTCAATCAACCTTTTCCTTTTTGCCATTGTGGAGACTTGAGAGCACTGCCTGCAGTGTTTATCTCCCAGCTGCTGACAACAGCTTTCTCTAAGGATAGTTCACCTGCAGATACACAGGACATGAAAACCTCCATGTTCTGCCAAAGTGATGAAGGTTGGTATGGGTTCATGGAAGTTGCCCACCCAGAATGCCAAATGAGACAAATACCTCCTTTGCATGCTTTGAGTGGACTGGCTGGCTTTTGTAGCAGAGGTCTCGGACTTAATCTGGTGGAGTCAGGCCAGACTTGACCTGCAGACTTCATTGTGGCTTTCGTGGAAACCTAAGTTAGGCTGCAGCTTTGCTTCCTAGAATTTGCTTACCCATTCCATTTGTTTCCAGAATTGGCCAGAAGAGAAATTTGCATGAGATTTAAATGGCAGAAGTGAAGTTGTCATCCTTAAAATGAGCTTTTTTTAGCCCTGTGAAGGTCTGTATGGGGAAGGCTCTGGTGGAGCCCATGCGCAGTGTCATTGATGTGCTAGCATACCTAACTGGCATGTGGCAGTGGCTGGCCCTTGGTTTCTCCAGCTCTACCAACTTCCTCCTCAGCTCCTCCACACCCTGGGGCCAGGTGCATGTGCAAGCTTATCCTGCAGGTGTGTGCATCATCAGGATCAATGCTTGTGGGTGACAGATGCATCTCTAATTTGTCCTCAGTCTCTGCCACTTTAAAGCCATCCCCCCACCCCAGGCCCCCAGTTGCCAGAATAGCTGATTTCAGGGCCTGCATCACATGCCGAGGTAAAAGACTCCTATGGACTGTCTGCTAGCGCCCCCCAAGGCCTAAGGTCTAATTCCTGTGATAGATTCTTCACCTCACTTAGTTCTGCTTCTCTCATCAGCATTTACATGTTGCCTGGGTCAGAGAAAGTCAAAATGGTACCAGTGGGGGAACTACATCCCATACTGATCCCCAGAGCATAGTAGCATATGTCTCAAAAAGTGACTTGTTGTCCAACACAGATGGACAATGTCATGATGGTGCAGATGAAGGATCTGTCCACCCTGCAGCGCGGCCCATCCTCTTGGGTTCCTGATGATCTCTTTGATCTTACCACCCCCAAGGAATACAAACTCACATTTTACTCATGTATGATGGATGGCCAAGCCATGTGGTTAATATAACCCAGTGGCCACAGAGAATGATTTCCAAGCCTTTGATAAAAATGTGGTCCTTGGGTTTTAGTGTTTTGTGCCTGTGAATGGGGTCAGGCAGGCTACTTTCTCTTGTAGTGGATCATTTTTTCTGTTGTTTTTGTTGTATAAGAGACCTCCAACCATTCACACCAAACCTTGGTCTCTCTCTGTTTATTCTGCATCTTTGCTGGTTTGTTAGCATTTGTGCATTCGGTTATTCCAAAAATGATCTGTGCTAGGTGCACAAAACTGAACACCCCCACCTTGTGGATGCTTGCATTCTATTGGAAGAGGCAGACACGAAACACCTACTAATTAACTGTGGTAAGTCCACCAAGGGAGAACTACTAGGTGGTAAGAGCGTCTGCTGGCCAATCCCACTGGCTCAAGAGGCCAGAAGAGTGGGATCCAGCTCCTGAGGAGGGGCTGGCCAGCAGCACCCCAGCACAGGTCAGGCAGGACAGTGGAGTGTGGGCTAACAGCTAACACTGAGTTCTCTGAACAAAAAGGCTTAATTCTGGAACTGTCCAGGAGGACGAGAACAGTGTGGAGATCCCAGCCCCACACCATGGCTGCCTCGACCTTCAGGCCCCTTGCAGCAGCCCATGCCTCCCATGGGGACTCAGGCCAGAGCTTCTGAGGACTGGGTGCCAGCAGCCTGATTTCCAAGAGAAAACACTTGAGGGACACCTTGTTTCCACAAGGAAACTCACCCATCCAGCCCAGGAAGCAATAGTTTCTTACATCAGAAGACAGATGGCTTCTGTGGGAAAATAAACTGCCTTGAAAATTCAGTCAGAGATTCCTCAAGGAGCTAGGTCCTCCTGGTTGGAGAAGTCGATGGTGTCTTAGCATTTGAGCCTATTTCCTGAACTCTCTGATTCATCCCCTGCCACCCCTGAGGTCAGGTCTGTCCTTATTGGTAATGGCTGCAGCTGGCACTCCTCACCTCTTCATGCAGTCTCCTTGCAGCTAATCTGCAGCCAGCTGTACCCAGGGGCCAGAGGAGGTAGGGAGCAGACTGGCTCCTTCCAGCTAAGCAGGGCAGCAGGGAAGGGGTCTGGGCAGCAGGCCCTGGGGGGGATGCCCAAGGGATCCCTAAGCTTTGCACTTCCTGAGAAGAGCAAGCCATTAAGCAGGTAGGTGCTTTGGCTTTTTAACGCTCCTGTAGTTAATCGCTCTGACTCTTTCTGCCTTCCTCCTTCTGGCCTTGTGCTCCTAATATGTAATCTGATAGCTTCGTTATTATTTTTTCTTTAATGGCTGTCTTCTCAAAGACTGCTATGTGCATGTTGATTAAACTTGGAACGTTATAGTTTGTTGTTGTTGGTCTGAATTCAGAAATATGGAAGACAAATATTTTCTCTCTCTGCTTTTTATGTTTCTTTTTAACTCTTCATCCACAGGCCTCCCAGTAACATTGGATACAGGAGAAAATACATTGGCAGTGAAAAACAAGATGAACCAGTTATAGTTTTAGATCCTGTTTCCTCACATGAACCCCAAACCAAAGACCAGGTTGTTGAAAAAGATCCAACTCAGTGCAAGGAGGAGGAAGGCAAAACTGAACCAGAATTCAAAGAAGACAGCGTTGAAACAACGAGAGAGACGGACAGCTCCAGCTGCTGATCTGCAAACCAGAAGGCTGGCTGTTGGGAAGTCCTTTTCAATAAGCACATGTCTCATCTTGGTGTATTGTCAAGGGCTATAGACACTTTTCTCTGGTCACTGTACTCAATAGGTCTTTCCTGGTGTCACTTTTGTAAGTAGCAACTATAAGCATAAGTGAGCTATTTAGCAAAATACACATTCTAAGTAGTTTTTGTTTTTTGATCTTTATAGGGATAAGGTATTTCCTAGTTACTATATGTATTAAGTATGACTTCTTTTAGAAGGTTACAAAAGACTCAGATGTTGATATCTTTTTAGGAAATGTGCATACCACTCATCAATTTTAGTAAGACTGAAAGTTCAAGGTGTTTGTAGATAATTGGGTAAACAGAACTGACCAACTCCACATGATTTAAAAAGCCACCCCCCCCCCAAGAAGCTTATGTTTAGGGTCTGGTCCTCTCTTGATGGACAAACTGCAGCAGCTTGGGAATGGTTGGGGTCTGTGGCATGCAAATTATATTCAAGGATAGATGCAGATAAACTTCAAACTCAGGAGCTGGCATCAAACTAGTAGTCCCTTGGGTCTGTGTTAACTGTTGGATGTTAACTGTTGCCCAGTGCCTCCCAGGGACTTCAGTTGGAATGTTCTGGTTGCCTGAATACAGAGTGGAGGGGCAGGTCCAAACCTCGAATTTCACAGTAATATCTTGGTAAACCATGTTTTCTGTCCTATGAGTTAATTGTGTTTTCCCATATACGAATGTGGCACAAGTACCATATTTTATCACAGTTCTTATGTACAGTGAAGATAAGTGACAAGCACACATTTTTCTTGCTTCACTGCTGTTCTACATTACACAGGTTTATTTATTTTTTTCCCTTAAAGAAATTAAGTGGTAGTTAGTCTCTAAAAATACAATGTTTCAGGCTACCACAGTGAATAAATAGAAATGTAATCAGGGATTTTTTTTAAAAAAACTTATGCAGCTTTTCAAAGTTGATTGTTTCAAAATTGGTGTTTATTTAAAATAAGTGGTAATGTACTTGAATGCACTTTTTTATGACAACGATTCAGTAATGGTAATTTTACTATTAAAGAAAGTGAAAGGTTTAGTTTTGTTAGCATGACTCAGCATGTAGCTGTCAGGTGTTTCTCACCTAAGGGCAGGAGAAAATGATAGTAATAATTGCAGTAGTCGTATTGTATTTTTGCACGTGTGCTTGAGCATTGGAGAGGTGGGAGGCAGTGAACATACTTCCTCCAAGTGGAGACAATTATCTTCCTGTAGGTTCCTTATGCTCAACTCCTTCCATGTTCTTCCAGTGATGATTTTCCAGTTTCCTATCAGTTTACTCGTGGGGAATTAAAATGTAATGATTTTCAACTGTATATTTCCCTAACTGAATAATACTGCTATATGGTATTTAACTGCAAACTGATGAATTCGCTTAATGATGAGTTCTGTTATGCTGTGATTTGAACTCTCCTCACCAGAAAGTATTAAAAGATAGAAAAAAAAAAAAAAAAGCACCAACAGTTTCCATTAAGGGTCAATTGTGGTTATTGACTTGTTGTTTTGGTTTTGGTTTTGGTGGTGCTGGGGTCTGAACTCCAGAGCTTTGCATATGCTATCTCGAAGCTACATCCCCAACCCCAAAACTCAGCCAACCTTGACATTCTTTAATAAGATATTTGTATAAGTTGATGAGTTTAGTAATTTTTGATGACACACAGAATGGTTTCTATTGAGCAGCTCTCCTCTGTTTCTGCCATGGCCTGCTGGTGTGTGCGTTGTTTGCGGTTAGGAGTATGAACACCAYGCACACCAGCAGGATAACATGGTTATAAAAACACCTTTGTGTCCAGCAAAAATACTTCCTGTTTGGTGAGACGTGCCACCTGGGCCAGGCTGTAGTCCGCATCTGGTACTTTCCATGTTCTCTTTCCAAGCTGCCTACGGCACTTCCCCCGTGACCACGAAACACCTTAAGTTACTGTGACATAAAGATATTTGAAGATCGTTTACTCAGCTTTTTCCTACAGTTTTTCCCTTTTCACCTCAGTTTTCAGATTTGCCCCTGCTGGGGGTAACTGTCAACAGAGCAGCTGGTCCCAGATAGTAAGAAATGGGGAGACCAGTGTTTCTGTCTTTAAGGTATGTTCTTGGCTATTTACACCCAAAACGTATACCACTTTAAAACTGGGAGGAACCCCATGTTTTTGTTTTCTCTAAAAGGGCATTTGTTTCTCCTTCTGTCTGGGGGATAATAGAGTAAATCTCTGCTAGTTTTCTTAACTAACGTTGATATACTTTCATAACCACAGTGAGACAGAGGAATAGAGGTCCTTTATGCTGTTGCTTCTTAAAAAAAGAAAAAATGTCTCTCTCTTCTCTGGAAGAATAAGAAGACTTGAATTAAAATTTTTGCACCTTTTGTGTCTGAGCTAGTTTCAAACTCCTCACCCACAGTCATTTTAGCAATTGATCAGCCCCATGGAAGTTCTGATTGTCAGGGTCACCAGGGCCATTAGCACCCAGCCTTGTTAGGTCTGAGTAAAAAGAAGATGGATATTTTGGCTCCAACTGTTCATCAATAATTCCTCCTTCCTTACCTTTGTTAACAGTAAAAGGTTTGTTGGAAATGGAGTAGTACAGGTACAAATTACTGTTGATTCTTTTTCCAGAACATTCTTAGGTTGAGTGTCAGGTAAATGATAAGTCTGTGTCAGGGAATCTTAAAAACAGAGCCTGGGTTATTTTCCTAAATGCACACTCGTGTGTGTAATCACTTCATCATGTGATAACCTCAGCTTCTGTGCCGACAGCTGTGGGCGGTGTGTAACCGCCCGCCATCACCACTGACCTCAGAAGGGCAGGCAGTCCTCGCGATAGGGTCAGAATGGTTGGAAGTTTCTTCCAGGCACTCGCGTTTCCCCATCTCTCTCATTTTTAAACTGGGATATGCCTAGTTTCTTTCATCTATTTTGCAGATAGTGGTATTATTATTATATGTTTTTTATATTACATAACAGGGAGACTATAAATAGAAAGTATTCTTGGGGCCCTAAGTCTAAATTTAAATGCTTGCTGTCCATAGGTGAGCCCAGACCTCAAGTGAGGTTATCGTGAGTGGACTGTGCTTTGTGTTGAAATTAAAGTGCTGATCTGGTGAAGGTGATAAGTCACCTCTTTGGTTAATTGAGTTTAATTAGTTTTTGCTCTGGTTTCATTGATTTCATTATAATTCATGTCACAGTTTGGGGGCACACTTAAGATTTATGTATGTGTGTGCATCTGAGGATATTCGTCCTCCCTTTAAAATGAACTTTCCTTCCAGTTTGTCCTGCCTAGTGTTGGTTGCTAAGCCTCAGGAGAGGTGGACACAGTTCTCCCAGCTTAGAATGATACCAACCAGTTCTCTGTCCCAGTCCAAGTCCAACTTGAACTGCTCTGAGTCTGCCATGGAGCCAACTTTAGATGGTAACTTCAGCTCTGCCAAAAGGTCATTAAGTCTCCTTGTTCATACTTTTCAAAAGGAGAGGCCCTCTGTGTGCTTGGTAAAAATGTAGAGACTGTGTCTGAAGTCCAAGTTCAGCCAACTCTCCTACAGGTCAGTTCATGGCAATTTATGTAAATTTTAACTAAAGGAAATGGTAGCCCTTTTAACAGAGAACCCAGCCATATAAAACAGTGGGACATGATCATATCTATAGGTGTGTGTTTGAGTTTATTTACTATCTCCTCTGCTGTAACACTAGCTTTCAGAGAGCCAGGTCAGCAGCATCTCACTTGTAAACACTCGCTGATCACTTTTTAAATGGTGCTGTATAAACAACTGGATATTTAAGAACCACAGGATTATTTATTCACCGATGTACTTATTAATCTATACCCATTCTTGTTCTAAAAAAGATCTAAGGAGATTTACAAAGATAATATATAAGGAAAACTAAAATTTAAGAGGAAGCAGGAAGGAGAGGAAAGGGAATTGCTTGTAGAGAAGTGAGATAAAGCTGTTTGGTGGTTGAAAACAGGGCGACTCTCTGTGCTCCTATGAGGTTGGCCACAGAAAGGACAGGTGGGGTTAGGGAGCAGGTGAGCCCAGGAGATGGCACCTACTTCAGGCACCAAGAGCTTCTTGCTGAATTAGGTTTTTGCTTTTGAGATGTTCTGCTCGGTAAAGGGTGAGGTGTTTGACTGAATGCCAACATGTCACACAAAAGAGGGTGCTCCAAAAGTGTGACTCCAATTGTAACTAAATGAACGAAACCAGAGCTAAACTAATTATTTTGTTTCAACAGTACAAGTATTGGCCTCTTTTAAAAGCAGAACATGATCTTGAAAAGTGGACAAAAGATCCCGTGTCCCCATGGAAATATGATGGCTTAAAAAAAAAAAAGTTCACAGATAAAATTTCAGGCAAACACACCATATGAGTATATTACCAAACAGCTAAATTAAAAGAAAAAAAAGAGCGCATGAGTTGGTGGTGCTTAGGAGCAGACTCGGTGCAGGGATGTACTTCACAGCTGTCAGCCGTGCCTTGCACTACTGCCCCTGGCTGGAAGAAGCTCACATTTTGGCCAACTCCTCTACAACCTCCGTGGGGAAGATGGGCTCTGGAGGCTCAAGCAGCTCACCAGCACCAGCAGCCGCCTCAAGGGCCTTCTCAGCATCCTCATTAAAGTAAAAAAAAGTGTGTTCTTCTTTGAAACCTATTAAAAACAACAAAAATAAATTTACTGTCTAATGTAGCTGTGCTGATATTATATATCACATGATTTGAATGATATCATCGCCAAAACTATCAATAGGAGTCATATCACTATCAGAAAAGTACCCAGAACCACTTAAACCAGGTCCGTCTTTGGTTAGGCATTAATTGTGCTATACCATACACACCTAACAGGACATTCTACAGTGTATGATGTGTTGTGACAGAGCTTAGCAGAAAAGGGTACCAGGAAAAACTAGAGGAGAGGCCCACATTGCTTGAATGCAGACCACCTGCTCCAAGAGGACCAGGGGCAGACTTGGACTATTCCAATCAGGCCCACAGTGGTAGTTTTAGTGGTTGAGATTTTGCCAATATCCTCTAATCAAAGGTGGTAGTGGAGAGATTGGTTTTGCCTGTTTTGGGTCCTCTTAGCATGTAGTGACCAGTGTCTGAGAAATTCTCAACTAATCCCTTAATCCATTTGGAGCCCCCAGATGGCTGCACTAACACCTGAGGAGGGCTTGTCCCTCTGGTTCCTAGGTTTGTGATGCTCTGAAGCAGCTGTGTTCCTTGTGAAGTGGCTGGAAATGTGAGAGGCCATTTAAGGAAACTGTGGCCTCTTCTAGTCAAGATGACAGACAACATGTAGAACAATATAATTTAACACATTTGAAAAAAATGAGCTTTTGTGTTACACACTTTTAAACAACCAGATTCACTGTTGATGCCTTTACATGACTCAAAGTTGGTCTCTCAATTATACTTTCATTTTCTGTGGATCTGTGTGTATATGTAAACATGACAAAATTTTTAAAAATCACAATTTTTACTGGTCTCTTTAAATGTCCCTGCATGCCACGGTCTCCTTTCAGGTATCACAATAGTAATATAAAAAATAAAAATGCATGTTTAGGATGTTTCTCTCCAACCACTACATAAGGTGCTTCCTCATATGCAGATTTATAAAGGTAGCATTTCTTAAACGATCAGTTGATTTCTCTTGAGATCTTAGCCTTCCCAATATACAGTAGAATTAGCACACTGCCTCCTGGTTTTAAGTAAACCAAGTTGCCTCCAAGAACCATCAGAAAAACATCTGCCTTTAACTTTCAGACTGTGCAAAGAAACCTTAAGGATAATTTGGACCATGACAAAAGGTAGGCTTGGAGATTCCAATCAATTAATTCTATTGAAAAGCATCAGGCCAGATTTTAACACTCAGGTAAACAGATAATCCATTAAGGCAACAATGTGCATTGTGGCAAGTGCCATCTTAGTTTTGTCAGCACTTATTTATAGTCTTTGGATTCCCCTGCCCTCCTGCCGAGGGACTTCTATTCCCCCTGGTCCAATCTTTGTTCTCTTATTCATGGTGAAGTGAAAACAAAGCGAGAAGGCAGCACGTACCCAGCGTTCCCTCTTGGGCCAGTTCCTCCTCTATAGTCAGAAGGCGGTTGTATTTAGTCACCCATTCACCACGAGAAAGGCCCCCCAACTTGATAAACCGGACCCCGAGTCCAACGGCCTGAAGAGGAAACATTTTGGATGGGAGGGTCATGTTTTGCTGAGCTACAACAATGATTTGAAGAGAAGAGCTGTCGAGGTGTTGTGCTGGGGTTTCCCCCTTGTATCTTCATATTGTATCTTTATGGAAGTAAAGTGACCTGCTCACAAGCCGAGAGTTTGAAAGACAGGCAGATGGTGTGACTGACTGTCCATCGGGCGCTTTACTAGTTGTGTAAGCATGCTGATTTTATCTAAGAATAGGCTGGCCTTTCTCACTTCATTTTAGGAGGGAAGATTGCAGGGACACACCCCAGTCATTTAAGTGCGCTCGTCATTTTCCTTGGACTTCAATTTTGCTGCTTTTTTAAAAGTTCAAAGATTAGCTCTTTATAAAAGGTAGCAGTCTGGGAGGAAGCAAGTCTATTTCATAAAAGGTTACATGACTTTCTCCACCAAAGACAGCATTTCTCTGAAATACCAATTCGTGATAAAAGCAGTGTTTTGGCAATTCTGCAATTGACCAGTGTTCAGCACTTACCAAATCGACAAGGCTGTCATCAGGAGACTCTCCTTCTGTACTTCCAAGGATGGTGAGGTGCTTCTTACCTGGGAGAGCAATTCCTGTCAGTTTTGTGTGGTGGCAGAAGCAGTTCACACATAACAGTCATGGGGTCCAAATTAGAAAGTGGCCAGAGATTTAAAACTTAAACTTAAAGAATTTAAAACTTTTAATTTTAAGAACAGAGAGCAGAGTCAATTATTTGACCACCTAAGAATTCTAAGGTAGACACTTGCATTTTCTCATCTGAACATTGCGCTGGGTTTATCTGTTTAGTCTTCTTTCTAGTAGCTTAGATGCTGTGGGTACTATATACCACATTTCATCACATTTAAGATTTGTTACTTATGAGATGCACTGCCATTTTATCACCACTAGAAAGGAAGAAATGTTCACTTCGGATCGACATGTTTCTAGGACCTCAGCTCCAAGACATGATTCATTTTGTTGCTGTTCCACATAAGAAAATATGCATCTTCAAGTCAGTGAACTGTGGTAAGTACATGGGCAGCGACTGTGGAGTTGATAGCCTGTATCATGACTTTCTCACTTCATATAGAATTTTATTCAAAGGCATCTGTCTTTATGAATATTTAGAAGAGCAGTATGGGTAGTATTTAATCATTTGAAGGCCTCAGGACCCTTAAAATTTGCCAAAGCCTATGAAGGGCACAGGCCAGAGTCCTTACTGTGGCGACAGTTTGCCATCTCCAGTGATGACAGAATGCCTACTGAGGGGTGGGCCTGAGGGGAAAGGCCATCTGACTCAGATGACTGCCCTGCCTGCCATTCCGTCCTCTGGCACCTGCCCTGGCCCCTGGCTGCCAGTCAGGCTCTTAGACCTGCTCTGGGTCTGAGACTGCCCTTGTGTCCAGTTTCCAAAGCCCGTTCATGGTATTCATGTGTCTGGCACCGTACCTAAGGACCCGCGATGCCCATGAACTCACTGGGGTTCACAGTCCAGGGGAGATATCAGCCATTAAATAATCAGACATTGTGGTGAGCACTACAAAAAGAAAATATTTGATGGTACAAGGAAGGTTCGGAGCAGAATCAGGGTGGGGGAGGTCTGAGGAGGCCTATGCATTCACGGGCATTTCACTTAGGACCTGAAGGATGAGTAGCTAGCCAGGTAGATGGCCCAGAGAAAGGCTTTCTAGAGCAAAGGAAAAGCATGTGCGGGCTGAGAGGTAGGAAAGAGTTTGAAAGTTGCGGAATTAAAAAAGTAAGCATGGGCAGTGGGATGAGCACAGTGTTGTGGAGAAGCTATTTAATCCCGCCATGGCTCATGTCTCTTAGGTAAATGGAGGGACAGTGTGTGCTGTGCACTTCACAGGGCTGCTGTGAGCATTAAATCCAAAGCTAAACGCGTTATGTACTACACAAAGATGCTCTTCTCTGCCATTCCAGGCCGATAAAAAAAAAAAAAAAAAACTTTTCAGCTGTCCCCAGAGCTGGGCTAAGGACCTGCTTCCAGATGCTTCCTTGATGCTACCCAATTTGCTCACCTGCCCAGCAGCTTCCCATTGCTGTAGGTGAACCTGCCTCTGCCCCTAGTCGCTGTACTCAACAGAAAACTGCCTGCTTGTGCTGATGGGGTCCTCTTGCTGCCTGTTTTCTTAACTGGGGAAGTAGACCCATTCCCTGCTGTAGGTGATCCAGTTCAAACTCTGATCCCTCCACCAGACTTCCCTAAGGCAAGGCAAGTTCAAGTGGCTAAATTGATTTCAATCAAGTAACATTACATCCTTACTCTGTACTTAGGCTCTGCTCTCTGTTCTTAAGTTGTTACAGAGAGGAACCTAGAGCACAAAGTGATAGTGAACAGAGAGAATCTGTAACACCTTAGCCAAGTGACATAGGCCAACTGCCTCTGTCTCTGCAGAATCCGTGAGGGTGCCTGACACCTTGTCCTTTGTGAGTGCTAAGCTGACTTCCTGAGCTTTCAACACTGTGCTCTGTCTAGAAATCTGACTGGAGTACCAGCTATTCTGTCCACTATTCAGAGTCCGTGACCTAGCCTTTAGCTGTAAGGTTCTGGGTTTCTCTACAGCTTTTCTATCACCTAACCTCACAGCCTCAAGCAAACTGAGAAATGTGCTAGTGGCTGTGCCTTATAAGAAATCAGGCCTTGCTCCTCCTGTTAGGGGCTGAAAAGCCCTTCCCACTGTGAAGCTGATGGGGTAGCCTTGACCACACCTGTGTGGTGGCCCTCAGTATGGGGGATGACCTGGTAGACTAGGGCTGTTTCTGGAACCTTGTGAATCACTAAGTTATGGTTTGTTTTCCAGCACTGAATCTCCCATAAAATGGCTGGGTTTTCTTTTCTTTGGAGATTTATTCCTTGCTTTTTAGTAACTTGGGTACACTTCATATTTTTGGCTTCTTGTATAACCAAATCATTATGAGTCTTTCAGATCTATATTTTACTCACTGTCAATAATGTTGGTTATTTCCACCAAGTCAGACATAGTAGTTTGGTTTGTATGTTTTATGATCAGTCCATGGGATCTGGGGCTGCCGATGCCTCCTTGCTCTAGAAGTTTAGAAATGCTTTTGGATGCAGTTCCTGCAATTATGTAGCACCTGGAACTGAGAGCATTATAGATGCTGTCCCACTGTTCAGCGTCCTGGATAAATATTTAAGAATTGATCATTTCTAATGTACAGTACACAATCACAAGCTACAGGAATCATATAGCACATAATCAAAGTCATACACTTTTCCTGAGACACACAAAACATTTTCTTTCACATCCATGCCTGAGTGATTCCTGTACCATAGCCACACAAATTAGCAAGCTTCAAGGAAGATAAACTTCAAGTGATTTAATTTGAATTTAAAGATCTTGTGAATAAAATGTTAATGTGCTAAATGCCATTCCCACATTGACTGTGGTGTTCTGAAAACCCAGGCTGTTCTCATCCACTGTACCACCCCTAATGCTGTTCACAACTCACTGGATAGAAGATTTTTCTGTTATTTCTGATAAACATAAAACTGAAAAGATAGGACCTTGTCAGGGCTCTCTGCCATCTTTCTGAAGGCCCTTCCCTGTTTTTATTGGTGAGGGTGTCATATGAAATGAAATGCTTATTTAACAAATGGTGTGTGTGTCTGTATATATTTGTATATGCACAAATCTACACACAAGGTCATCCACTAGGCTAATTTCAACCTACCCCATTAGAACTGACCACACAGGTGCCCCCTATCACAGGAAAAAAAAGCTGAGGCTGGGGGGCTGGGGTTGTGGCTCAGCAGTAGAGCGCTGGTCTAGCATATGCAGGGCCCTGGGTTCGATCCTCAGCACCACATAAAAATAAATAAAATAAAGTTATTGTGTTCAACTACTTCTGAAAAATAAATATTAAAAAAAAAAAGCTGTGGTCAGAGCCTCAGAACTGTCCTCACAAGGAGAGTCTGGCATGAGTTCAGTGGGTGTCTTGTGAGAGTACTGATAAGTAGCAGAGGCCAGGAAAGGATAGAAGGAACTGTCCCCAGATCTCAATAAGAAAGGATGTTTGTCTGTCTTTTCAATATACTATGGACTCTCAAATTCATTAAATCAAGAATTCTAATTTTGGAGTTTGAAGTGGGGGAGAGATGACCTTCTATGATCTGTAGACAATGCTTATCGGGTGCATTTGTTTAAACAGAGGACAAAAATCTCAGTATCTCAAACCCTTTTTAAAAAGATGGCTTTTTGTTACTTTTATGCATATATAGTAACTGGATTTAGGTTAAAAAATATTTGGCCTCGCAGAAGTCCTGTTTCCATGAGCACATGAAAATGACATATGATTAACCCACTGAAGCACCAGCCAGCGCAGCGGGGGCGGCTTCCATCAGCTAGTTTGCTTGTAAATACACAGGTACTCCTGAAGGGCTGGCGAATGGCTTGTTTCATTCCACAGACAGGCATGCTCCCAGGTAATTGTGTTTCTGCTATTCATTTGCTTAGTAAGTGCCTTTCTCATAAATGCCAAAAGAAAGCAAGTTAACCCCAGCCCAAATTATAACACATTCCAAATGACAGAGATCCAAAAGAATGAGGTTTTATTCTGTTTTGTTGTAAAATGCAAAAGGTAAGCCTGCTTACTTTATAGCTTTTAAAATATATGTTATAAAATATAAAAGGTGGGCCCTGCTTACCTCCTTCCTGAAAGGATCAATTAAGGCTATAATGTAAGGGTACTTGTTGATCAAATCCACATACAGGTCAACCATCTCGGCGGCGCTCTTGTAGACGCCCGCCATCACCTCGTACTTTCCTTTGCTCTAATGAGTATAAGGAAAACGGTAAAACAAAGAATAAGTAATGGACTCTTCAGATGTTAAAGATGCAATTCAAATTCCTTTCTGTTCATTTCATATGAAATACTGTCAGCAGATTCAAGTCACATTCCTCTAAGAAATTTATGCATTTGGCTTCAAATATCTTTAAGAGATTATCCTGGGAAGCCAAGTCACTGTTCCTCTTGATGCCTTTGGAATTCTTCCCACAGACATTGGATGGAGCCTTCTGCACAAAAACCCAACAGGTACAGAGTGGGAGGGGACTTGTTTTTTATTTAGACTTCTGATATGGTGCCAGGTGCCCAGCTGCCTGGGTAGGTGGACAATAGCATGAATTCGTAAAACAATGAACAGAATAGCAGTGCAAACCTGCCCACTCTCTAGAACCCACTGTCTTGCAACTCACTGTGATCAAATGATTTGTTTCCTTTACTGTAAATATTCTAAACTTTGAAAACAGGGCTAGGCTTTGGAGTACTAACAACCAATATGGAATGTGAACGAAGGCACTTTGTTTTCAGGGAGTATGAAACTTCCAGAGGGGACCATACTGTCCTAAAGTGAGATTCTAGGGCAACCCCACTTAGCTGAGTTATTAAGTATGAAATAAACCGGGCTGGAAGATTCAGGGTTGTCTTTTTGCCAAAGCTCCCGATGTTCAAAGCTATGTGCAGGGGTAGTGCCTGGGGTATCCGAGCTCTGGGAGGGAGACAGGACAGAGAGATGGCTGTTTTGCTTGCTGATGGCTTCCAGCCACTGCTGCTGACAAACCGTGGAATTAAGAAGATTCCTAAGAAGTCCATAATTGAAGAGATTTTTATAGGGCTTTTTCCTTCCCTTATATAGCATTAAGAACTTTTAGCTTCTGTGATGCATAACTTTAAACTCCTATCTTGTCAGGGAGGAAATGCTAATGACTTTGAACTAATATGATTATAAGAATTATATGATATAAAGCTAATACATTTTACTGAATATAAGCAATAAATACCCATCCAGTCAGCTGTAGCAATCAGTATCTTCATAGTTCTGGGTATACATTGCTGATGAAAACATGCAATTATTTTTCTTAATGGTATGCCTAGGAACCAATCATTATGTGAAGAATAGGGAATTAAACATTCCTTTATGTGCTTAGTTTCTTTAGAAAAGTAAAAGAACTTTAGAAATCAGCCCAAACTTAGGGCTCTTATATACCATTAAAAACTTCCTTTGTAGTCAAAGTTAGGATCACAGTTAAAGAAAAAAACGTATTTTGTCATGTCCCCTGAATTTGACATTAATTACCAACTCACTATAAATGCCTGTCAATATGCTGCCATTTTATAAAACTGAGACTCAGTATTTGTATATTTGGAAATGGGAAGTATATATGTGTGTGAGACAGAAAGCTTCCAGAGTAGAATACAGATTTCCCAAGTGTAAAGGTACTTAGTTGTATGAATCTGAGGAAGTAAGGACAGAACCTGTTTTCCATTTTCTTCCTCTTTAAAAGATCTCTCTAGTGGCCTGATCAGCAGATAGTATGTCATCACTGAGAGTCTGTTTCCCCAACCAAGGCTGGGGATGATACTTTAATGTATCTAGTTGGATAAAAACTTCAATCACCTAGAAATATTTTTCTATAAAAAGTGAGGGCTGGGGTTGCATCTCAGTGGTAGAGTACTTGCCTAACCAGTGTGAGGCCCTGGGTTTGATCCCCAGAATTGCAAAAATAAGAAGTGAGTCACAGCATAAATTCTTAAGAACCACTTGCCTATCAAGTCCTTGCTACAACTGATCCACTTTTCATGCTTGACAAATTCAGCATTTACCAAGTGACTACACTCAGTAAAATATACCAGTTGGTTATTTTTCAGTAGCGTTCATGATTGCAATGTAAGTTACCTATTTTATTCATTTATTATAGAATTCCTATATATGAGCATGGCATTTTATCTTATTATTTTTAAAAATTATATAGTTGTTATTCATTGGTGATTAGCTAATTTGGTTTTCTCAACTCCATTTAGATTAGATCCCTCACACAATATTAAAACCAAAAAAAAAAAAAAAGGCATCTGTTGGAAAATATTCCAGTAAGCCCTTCTTTTGAGTTTTCATTTAAAAATCATGGACCTTAACAAGAAGTGAATGTTCTCAAATAGAAACTTACATAGTCTATCAGCTCATGGCCAGCACAGTTGATGGCTAGATGCAGATTGGTTCCCAGTTCCAGCCCCAAGTTGGCACAGATTCCCTGTATTAGAAGCAGCAGCTGTTCTACGGTGTCGCAGGTAATGATCAAACAACCAAGATGGGACATCTTGCTAGTGACGGGTGGCTACACGGTCAGAAGAAAATGATGAGTGTCAGCCCAGCACATTAAGGTCCTGAGATAGTCCTAGCTCATGACGGGACACAGCTCTCCAAGACCAAGTCCTTCCATTCTTGATTAATCCTACTTTTCAGGTCCCACTTTCAGGACTTTGGGCATATGATTCACCTGCACTATCTGCCTATATTATTGTTTTATCAGCTCTGTCACTGTGCATGGGGCTAGCTAGCCTAAGCCAACACCACCAGGTCAGTAAATCTCCAGGCTGTCCCTGTAAATGTCCACCAGTCTCCAACTCACCAGTCCTCTTCCTCAAAACTTGCCCTTTCTTATGTTCTGTTTTCCTGTAAATGAACATAACTGCTAAAACTTAAAAAATGTAATCCTCCTTCAGCATAAGTTTTATTTTCAGAAGGATTGAAGACTTTGGTTAAAAAGATGCATTACTGGGGATAGATTTTAGTAAGGAAGATCTGGGGACCCAAATGACCCCAGGAAAAAGCAGCTGTTTGTTTCTACTGCAAGGTCAGCCTTGACGTGCCCTCATCTATATTGCTACATTATGATTGCAAGGTGAAGCAATACCCGTGGTTCTGAGGGCTTAAGAATAGATGTGAACCTAGGTATAAATATTAATAATGGCACTAATTATAAGAACATCCAACATTTTTAATGTCATTAATAGGAAGCTTCTATTGAGCAAGCAAAGAAACAACTGGGAAATTTTTGCCTATTGATTGAGTTTAGTAAAGCTTCAGCTGAATTCCATGAAGCAAATGCACCTGTTCCTTATGCTAACACCATGAAGCAGGACTGCCATTATCTCCATTTTACCAAGATGACGTGATCTGGGACAGATTTTAATGCTGGCAGAATCCACCCTTAACTCTGGTGTGGTAGCTTCTCCAGAACCTATTATCTAACCTGTTTCTAACAGGGAAAAAAACAAATTTTTTTAAAGGGAAGCTGATCACAGGGCAGATATTGGCCTCAGCCTCTCAGTACATGCAAGACAACCTGCTGGAATGAAGAGGACAATGTTAATTGGTCAACGCTTCTCCATCCCCACCTCTCTTACAAGGCCTAATTAGAGTGTTGTGCTCATTCCAACATATAACTGCCAAGGATTTTACTTGCTGGTGAATTTATTCACATTTTCTTAAGTTTCTTTCTGAGCTGCCCCCTCTTTGTTGACTTCAACAGACTCTGAAGTCCCTGACTGTGTGTGCTGGGACTGCTGCCTTACCCAGAGACGCTGTAGACCTGAGAGGCCACCCGCCTGCATCACCTCCAGAGTTCTCACTGAAGATACTTTGGAAAGTTAGACACATATAATAGGTACATGTATCAGAGCATCCACAATCACCAAAGTGACTGACCAATGACGTTAGCTGACCTCCCAAGGCTCTGGAGGCCAAGTGGCCACTTTTCACAAGGATGGTTTGCCTGAACTCTCCTGGCAAACTCTTGAGTTCCCACAGTGGCTCCTCTCGTGTAGTGCTTTTCAAAACCAGAGAGAACGAATGGCTATCTTTTTGTGCCGTTTTCATTCTATCATTGGTAGTGGCAGAATTAAAATTAAAACATCTAAAAGCCTTTCAGCTAGTTAAGGGGACATTCAGCTTCCTAAGCCCTTCACTGTAGGGTCAGATATAATCCTGTTCCTCATAAATGCTCCCGAGTCCTCTGAGACTTTGGCAGGCTGACAGCTACTGGCAGCCATGGCCAGGTAGCCTGTTGCTGGAAAGGCAGTGGCCAACTGATGTTCCAGCTCTGGGTTGGTGCCCTTAAAGCAACATGTTTAAAAAACATGTGTTTTCCATTTGTCTTGAAGCAAAGTAACTATGGGAGAGAAAACGAAGCAGGTTACATAAAGCACCCTACAGAAGTGTGGTGAACGCCTTTGTATACGCACTTGACCTCTTTTGCTTCCATTATGTCCTTTTTTGGTCTCCACTTTTGGAGGAGGGGGCTGTGGAATAGAAGGTAAAAACATAACCACTTGGGATTTTGAGACTTAGCTGTGGCAGCAAGAAGAGTTAAGATCTTCTAACTATCCACTTATGGGGACTGCGCAGCCACACTGCAAATCTCAGACACAAGACACCCACGCACATACACACAAGGAGGATAAGTCCAGCTACTCCCTACTTTTTTAAGTCCCATTCTGTAAATTCAGGCACATATTTCCTTTAGTTCACCCTTACCTTCTGCCCCCAATCACACACAGGGGTGTGCATACCCATAGATTTGTGTTTCTACTCTTGGGAATGAAGTATTTGCACATCAAGTGGAACTCCTGCTCTCTTTTGCCAAAGGATGCAAAATCCCCTCTTGGTCTTAAGGAGTATTATTACCTTCTACCATTGGATTTGCTTCTATAGGCCCAACATATTGTTTCTAATATTCTCAGGGTATGTGTGTATATATATGTGTGTGTGATACACACACACACACACACACACACACACACACACACACACTTGCAGAGTGGATTTGGGTTTTGGAAATAGCCAATGGTCCTTAAATCGTTTACAAATTCCTTAAGGATGATGTTAGCACAGAGCCAGCTACCTCAGAAATCAAAATGAGAGTCTGTCCTCCCAGCTTCTCAGGAGGCTGAGGCAGGAGGATCACAAGTTCCAGGCTAGCCTGGGCAACTTAGTGAACCCTGTCTCAAAAAAAGAAAAAATAAATCTTCAAACTGAGATTGTTTAATACATTTAGAAAATGGATCCATAGCAAATGAGGAATGTATGCACTTGGTTTGCATAAGAAACCCAAAATAAATGTATTTTCTATAGCAGTAATACCAATATTGACTTAATGACAAAATGAAATAGGAGTTCGATGCTAGAAGGCAAAGGTCAGTAACTAGACACCATGGATTGTTACTTACCGATTCTATTACTTTGTTAATTTGTTTCCGAATTTCCAGAAGCATCTCCACACCCTGTAAGTAGAGTAACCATCATCTTCTAAAACTGTCGTCTACAAATATTAAATGCGAACACTTACACCACCTGTCTGTTCCTAACTCAGAATATTTGTAGAGTCCCTGAAAATGGCCCCCAGTTGGTGGACAGAGTGAGCTGCAGAATTGGAAGATTAAATGTTAATCTCCAGCCCCCAGCTTGCATTTGACTGAGCATGAGCAAAAGCCTCTGTCTCAGCCTCCTCATTGCTCAGAATTGACTAGCCCTGTGATTGGACCAAGTTAATTTCAGACTCTTTCATGGTCTTTAAGCCAACCTAGTCAACATTATTGCAATACATGTCACAGGTCAACAACGTAGTCTGGATAAGAGTGACCAAATCAGTTTAAATCCACTTTCACTTAAAAATTCAAGAGTGTGCTCTGAGGATGATGACATCTGTGTAAAGAAGGCATGCTGAGGCCTCTGGTACCAAGCAGCACAAGTACTATCCAAAGGAAAGATCCTGGTGAGGGGATCCAAATCTGACCTGGCAGATGGTGAGCAAGACAGCAATCTGTCTTCTGTGACTAATCAATTGCAAGGTAATAATGATTTTGCTGAAGAAAGAATTCTCATAAAGAAAGCATCCTGAGGGTTTATTTTAAAACCTAGTTCCACTAACTTAGAAAAATATCAGTCTTTATTCCGGGAGGTGTGAGAGGAAGCTTCCTGAACTTTTTCTGAGCGTGTAGACTGCAGAACATACACCTCTTTAGCTCTCCTGACTGGCAGAACAATTCGTGGAGATCCAAAGAGGCATAATGGCTCTTTCAGGCCACTGAAGAGCAACGTAGACAACACTAGCCCACCTCTGAGAAATGAGGATGAAATTTAGGATTCCTTTCTTCCTTCCATATATATGCACTAAACATCCCTTATGTGCCAGGCAATCTGCTAGGCCTGGAATTCTTCACAGAGTGGGCTGCCAGGAAAGTGCCAGCTTCCACTAGCTACTGCCAATTAAAAAAAAATGAAGGGCACAGACTTCCCAACTCCCCCAGGTAACAACCATCCCTCACCACAGAGGTCTCCAGAGTCACCCGCTCCTTGCTTCTCTGATTCAGAGGCATGAGCCAGTGCTGTGTCAAACCAGACATCAACAGGGTCTGCTCCCTTTGGGGGTCTTACTTTCTTCCCACTTCCCTGATTTCCCTAAAATATTTTTTCTTGTTTTTAATTCTCTTTCCCTTTGGTGTCATAAGGGAGCTATGTTTTAAAAAAATCATCAGTGATGGAGTATTTGGTTTTTTCTTTACTTTAAAAATTTTTTTTTTAAGAAAATGTAGTCTGGGAGTAATATAAGATACTTGTTTGGTTGTCAATCCAGGATGGGGAATGCAAATCACTTCTTTCATTAAATTTAATTTTCCAGGTGATGACTTCCCACAGCTGGCGAGAGATACCATCAGCAAAGGCATAGTTAGTGTTGTTGGCTGTTCCTAAAATAAGAGGAAAGAAGGGGAAAATGAGAAATGTGGTTCATTCACATTGAGCCCCTCAGGGCTTCTCATGGTGGAATAAAACAAATCCTAACCTGATTGTGCTTCAGCAATGCAATGTTCAAGTACAGAGGAATACTGCCCAGTATGGCGCTGGCTTTGGCAATAGCTAGTGACACAGCTCCTATGGCCATACTGCCGCAGAGCACGGGTTCAGCAGGTTCTGCAGGCGGGATAGGTTTCTCTGTGATGGTTTCCTTCCTTCCTGGAGGAAAAAGACAGGAGAAAAGATTCTAGGAAGTTGGACTGTCACACGACTGTATCTTAAATGCTTCACGGACAGCTGGGAATGCCCAGCAAAAATGAAGGTTAAAAACAGGCTAGGAAGAACCTGTTCTCCACCTCAAGTGCCCAGAAGTTTTCTGTTTGATTTCACTTACCGATCCCCCCAAAATTCTGAACTGTGAATTTGTCTAAGCAATTTGAGGCCAATGCAATATCAACTCCTTCAGTTGTCAAATGAGGTAGGTGTTTCTTATCCAACATCCTATGTAAGTGAGCTGGGGCTTCAAGAGATGAAAAAACTTGTGCAATATGTTACAAAAAGTGAATGAAGAAAGGATTTGGATGGTTTTTTTGAATTCTAACTCCTTTGCTTCTCTGAATTTCTTTGAGCTGCTGCATACCCCACCTTCTGTTAAGCATCTAGTCAATGTGTATACCTAACTTGCCACCTTCTTCACCAATCCTAAACTCATGTTTGCTTCCGTGTTATTTACCATCTCTAGAAATGCCTTAGGCCCAATAGTCTACCCAGAATCTTTGCCATCTTTCACAGGTTCTCAGCCATGCTGTCTGATCAGGTACCACAGAATTCATCATCAACCTGTAATGTTCTCTTGTCCTCCCCCCCACAGCTACTGACCCTGGCTCAGGTCCTCAGTGGAGATGAGATGCCTAAGCAGCCAGCAGATATCCAGATACCTAGATATCTAGTGCCTAGCAAGTTACTGTCCCCTCCTACATTTTCTCCTCTCATAAAGTCTAAGTTCTTTCAGTCAGAAGCAGCTGCCAAATTAACATCCATTGGTGGCCTGTATTATAACTCAATAGTGATCATCTCACTCTTGGGACAGAAGACAGGTCTAGCATGATTCTGTTCGTAATGGGGCCCATTTAAAATTAAAAGCCCCAAATTGTTTTTTCCTTCTTAGCCTCAGCCATTTCCCCTTAACCTATTCATTAAGCTATTTTCTCCATCACAGCTTCCTACAGGTGATAGTCTCACACTGAGAATGGAAGCTAAACTGCCCCTGCCCCCAAACCCTGGCACCAGCACAATTTGGAAAATCAGAATCATAACATAATCGTTCAGCTAGCACAGCCTGGCTGAATCTACATATGTATATTTCCTGGCTTTGTTCCTATAAATCATAATATTCAGAAGGCAGATTAGCTGTCTTTCCAGTTTGGGCCAAATTATGATTAAATTCATTTTTCTTTTTGTATCATTTTCTCTCATTTCAGATTTGGGTGGGTGATTGAATCTAGTCAGTTGGGACCCTGGGAGGCCTCTGGCCTGGGTCCCAGGAACATTTTGCCTTGGTCAATTCTCTTTCCTTTGCTGGACCTCAGCAGCTGCTATTAATGAAATAAAGGACCTGTCTCCATGGTCTCTTTGGTCACTTTTTGGTCTGGTGCTCTCTTATTCATCGGTACCCACATTTACTGGGTGGTTGGCTGTGCCTGGCATCATGCTAGACTTTAGCAATGGCAAGCTGAATGAGGCAGGAGTCACTCATCCCCGCAGGGAACCCTCAGTTTAGTAGACATAAAAGCACAATTACAGCAGAAGTTCCAGCACTAACACACCGGAGGGGCTAATGTTAGCTACCTATTGGAAGACAGGAAGCAAAGGGCAAAGTGATACCTGTATAATGTGCTTTAAAATACCAAAGTTGCTTAAAGAAAATGTTTATTTACGCGTGACATAAGCCCGAGAAAGTGTTGGTTTTGGAAAGTGTCGGATTTACATTATATCAAAGGATTCAGTATTCTAAAATATGGAGTGGCCCTTTGATTACTTAATGGCAATTTACTGAGGAGGTGAAAGTTCCCCAGTGTCATCCCATCCCCACCCTACCACTCATTGCCACTGTTCAATGTACTTTAACTTCTTTATTTTTTGTAGTGCTGGGGATCAAACCTCTACACTGACCTTCACCCACAGTCCTCAATGCACTTTATTTACCAAGTGCTCACTTCTAAGTGATAAACTAATCATTTTTTCTCAAAAATAAAAATGGAGGGTAATGTGGGTCTGACTTAGCACAGCAGCTTCAAGCAGGGACATGGCATGGAGGGTGGGTGGCACTTGGCTGGGAGCCAGCCAGCCTTTCTTTCTCTCATGTTTGTCACTAAAGGTTCTGAAGATATCTGGCCACCAACCTGGCTTCTGCCCTTTCTTTTTGGCAGGAGGTGGAGCGGATGGCGGTGGCATTACAGGTGGAGGTACTGGCACTACTGACTCTTCCAGGCTCTTCTCTAGTTCTTTCCTCTCCTTGTCTTCTTGTACTTTCTTTACGAAGAATAACCTTAATGGCGAGAAAACAGCTTTACAGTGACATTTAGGAATACCACTCTGTGCTTTTGGTTGAGTTTTAGAGTTGACCTGACCCCAGTGTGCTTCAATAATATACTCTATGGCAACTTAAGGACAAATCAGCTTTAATTTCCAAGACCTAAAAAGAATGCTGGTGTTATAAAACTGTTCAAGAACTGAAATTCATTTTGGCCTAGAAAGAAATGTTTAATGATTTTCAGGGGCTCTTTTTTTAAATTACTTGAGTTCTGTTTGCATTTTTAAAAATTACACACACACACATTTTAGTCCGATGAACCTTTATTTTATTCATTTATTTATACATGGTGCTGAGAATTGAACCCAGGGCATCACACATGCTAGGCAAGGGCTCTACCACTGAACCACAACCCCAGCCCTCTGTTTGCAATTTCAAAGTAAAATTTAAAGACCTGGGGCTGGGATGTGGCTCAAGTGGTAGCACACTCACCTGGCATGCGTGAGGCACTGGGTTCGACCCTCAGCATCACGTAAAAATAAAATTAAAAATATTATGTCCACCTAAAACTAAAAAATAAATATAAAAAATTTAAAGACCTAATTTGATGAAGGGCTACTCAATTATTTTTGTATAAATGACATTCAGAAGACAAATCCTTCAAGAATACACAATGGAATACACAAAAAGCAGTATGTGGCTGATGTCTTATTTTTGGAAGAGGAAACTGGGGGTCTTTAAAGGGAATACTTTTAAAAAGTTTGGAAATGCTACTTAAGTACAACTAGGTAACAATTTTACTCCCCCAGAATAAATAAATTTTTAAAAAAGAGACTAAAAATTTCCATAGACAAAAAGCAAGCAAATAAAAAGACATGGGAGTCAGATTTACATTATATTTGTGAATAATCTAGATGCTAGTGAGGCAGTGCCTTTAACAGACCGAGAGAAATTGATTTGGACATAGAATTCTATATTCAGCCAAACTATCAATCATGAAAACAAAGTAATAACATTTCCACATATATCAGAACTCAACAACCTTACTTCCCATATACACTTTCTCACCTGTACTTTCCAAGAATAGAATCCATCAAGTCAAAAAAGGAAAATATGGAATCCAGAAACAGGAGAACATAAATCTTTATGATATCTCTATGGTAGACCCAGAGAGGAACCAGTCCAGGAGCAAGCCCCCCTCCCCCAAATTAATATGTGGAATGGCATTCAAAACCTCCAAGAGAACCAAAAACTACTTTACCAAGTCTTTTACAAAGGTAAAAGACTTTGAGGCAAACTAAAACATTATACACAATTTAAAAAGTGATAAAGCTTAAGGAAAGAAAATCCACTTGGCTTTTGCTTGGCCAAGGGGGTTGAGGCCTTAGGCCTGCACAACAGGAAAAGTGATTAACCCGTTACTTGGTGCAGTACCGAGCTGTACTTACACAGCCCTTTCTGAAAAATGCTTCCTTGGTTTTTGATTTTTGGAGTCAACCCATGAGCTAAGCATGAAAAGACTTGGTTGTTGGAGGACAGGGTATAAGCAACAGCCATTGTGACTACATGGAAGGACATGAGCAGCTCAAAAGGTGGCCCCTGAAGGGGTGAGAAGAGGGAGAGAACATTATCTGGATTTAGTAACTTGATCCTTCCCTTGTGCTGAATCCTAGGGATGCTCTACGCCTGAAAAAAAGACAAAAAAGCCCTATGTAACCTTACATAGTAAGATTTTAATAGCAGGATTTTCAGCAGAAAGACAATATTTTATGTTAAATTTTGCTGCCTTAATATATGCTTTTTAAATTGACTTCCCAACTCTGTAAATTTCTGACTTATTAGCAGGTGAAATGTAGACAATAGACTCTATATATTCTTGATGGTTTCTATTTCAATGGAGGCTGTACCTGAGCATGTGATCCACCTGGGCCTGGTTGGAGGGCACCAGGCCCCGCAACTCCTCGGTGATAGTCTCATTGACCCACTGTATGGCGGTGCTCACTGCCAGGCCCCTTTCCACCTCCTCTGCCTCCACCACCTCTGGCAAAGCATTCTCGTGGACCTCAAAGTGAGTGGGGATCATGACGGAGCAGATGTTCTGAAAATAACATGAATGTGATCTATGGTTTCCCTATTTCTCACAGTAAATAGGAAATTGGATTAATCCATCTTTTAACATGCATGGTCTTTATCACCAATTCCAAAGGAAATAAGAATATGTATAATTTTCTTTGAGATTTTTTATAGTTGTTGAAACTGTAAAACCTGACTTCATGAAACATTTAAAATTACTACTTCTTAAAATGTAGTAAACCCGGGCTGGGGATGTGGCTCAAGCGGTAGCGCGCTCGCCTGGCATGCGTGCGGCCCGGGTTCGATCCTCCAGCACCACGTACAAACAAAGATGTTGTGTCCGCCAATAACTAAAAAATAAATAAATAAATTTAAAAAAAAAAATGTAGTAAACCCTACACTGAACTTTATTTTTTATCACTACCTCTTCAATAAATAGCTATAAGGATATAAACATGTTTAATCATAATTATTCTCCTAGAGTTTGTAGCAAAATTAATTTCTAACAAATGTGCAATTAAGGCGAATTAAAATGAATTTCTGAAATTATTTAAATGAATCATTTAAATCAATCTACATATCTATAAATCTATATATAAATATATAAACCTATAAACCTGTATGTTGATTTATTAAACTCATCACATTAGTAATTTCAGAGTTTAACTATTTTTACCTCATTTTTTTTTTGTTCATCTTGGATATTCCTCAAGTTAGCATGTCACATTTGTATCAAAATTACACTTAAACATAACAAAAATATAAATTATGGTTGGTTGACTCACATTTACACGACTAGCTATGAACTATATTTTTTACAAACACTAGATTTCAAAGCATTAATTTTCTACAGTTTAGACAAAAGTTGCTAATAAATGCAGTGGATTCAAGATGTGTTAAAGAACACATTTTAAACTGGCTCATACCTTGGGAAAATTTTGAATGGTGCAGAATATTTCCACTTGTAGGGTTGGAAGCCCCAGTCCATCCAGTACATTTTTACCCACTATTTTGCATAGGGTGGGAGGCTTTGCAAGTTTAGAAAAGTAGTTTGCCTTCAACACACACAGACACACAAAAACAAAAATCAGAATAGCACATCTAATTTATCTTCAAAAGGTTGTTCACATTTACACTAGTTTAACAAAACCTCTCCATGAGTGTCCTTCCTGGCACTGGGGTTAGACTACAGCTCCACGGGAACAGGCCTGCTCTCACCATCATTGAGATTTGGATTCTACCCTACGATAAGTCTCTGGCACATGGGGCAATGTGTTGTCATTCGAAATCTCAATGGAAACCATGATACTTTTCTTAATTTAAACTTTAAGGTCTCATGTCATTCCTGAAAGCCTTCTGATAGTCAACTCAATTCCCTAATATATCTCTAGAACTCTGTGACACGTTCTAATTTAATAAACCTGAGGAGGACTGAATTTTATCCCTCCCAGCAAGGCACCTGATCTTTAAAGGATGAAGACTAGTGCAGTCACTGCATCTCACTAGCTCATGCGTAGTCCTACGTGGGCAAAAAAGCTCATAGGGAACTTAGAAGTAGCCATTTCATTGAGGTGGAAAAGCAGAAGCCAGCTGGAAGTGATCCAAGGAAAAGAGTGAGGAAAGAGAAGGAAGCTAAGGTGGAAAGCCCACTCCAGGACCCTGAGTGAAAAATCTCCAGGTGGTGGTTCACTGCAGAGGAACTGGGGTGAGGAGAGGATAGAAGCAAGGAAAGCAAAGCTGCACCCTCCTCACTCTCTTTATTTCCATTTAGCAGATGAGGTCTCTGGTCATTCATTTAAAGAGCCAGTGGCTTCAGCCTAGACAACAGATATTCTAACACAGCAACAAGCCAGCTCAAAGGTGGGGCCTTGCAGACCTGAAGCAGAAGCAATTTCCAGCCATCTGAGCATTTAAGGATGGTGGTTTGTGTGCTACAAAGTAAGTGCCTAAATGAATGTGGATATACTTAAGGGATGAAAAATGTTACTAAGCTTATATAATTTGTGTTCAACAAGTGCCAAGTGCCTAGGACCTTCAATGTACTATATTGTGTTTGGAGGGGAAGGGAACTAACATTTCCAAGTGCTTAATACTTTTCATTGACCCACTCTATGGCCGTGCTCACTGCCAGGCCCCTTTCCACCTCCTCTGCTTCCACCAGCTCTGGCAAGCATGGTGGAAGCATTCCTATGGACCTCAAAGTGACTATGTCTTCCTTTCACTATGGTATCACACACCATAGTGCTTGGCATAAATAGAATTATTATTTAAATTAATGATTATCAAACTCATCCCTGGGCACTCTGTGTATATTTTGTTATCAGATTCCCAATCTAGTTAAGGTAGGTGGTATCATCTCCATTCCACAGAGGAGCAAATTGAGCTCCAGAGAAATAAAATGTCCAAGATCGCATTCCCATGTTTTAATGATCTAAAGCTTTAAACAGTCTTCCTTGGAACTTAGTGGCAGAAACCATTTATTGGCTCAGAATTCTGCTGAGTTGCACTCAACTGGGTCATTCTTTCACTGGTTGTGTCTGGGTTCTCCTATGCAGATGAAATCATCTGGAAGCTTGACAAGGGCCAGAATAGCCAGAGGCTGGCTGGGCAGCCGTCTTTCTCACAGGGACCCTGGCTGCGTGACATCTGCCAAGGCCTCTTTGTATGATCTCTCTCTCCAGCAGGATAATTGGACTTCCTCACAGCATGAGGACTAGCTTCCAAGAAGACAAGTCTCAATATGCCAGCACTTACCAAGCCTTTGGACATGCTTGCCAAGGTCCTATTGATCAAAGCCAGTCACATGGCTGAGCCTAGAGTCAATGTGGAAGGGACTTCCATCAGAGGTTCACATTGGAGATGTGTCCATTGGGGGCCCAGAAATGTAATAATCTCCCACAGCTAGTAAGTGCTGGAGCTAAGGATCAAACCCAGATCTGCCTGATTTCCAACCAAGGCTCCTTCATTCATAAGTTTTATGATGAGGAAACACTATATTGCTGTTGCCTGCAGGGATCTTCTCCATCCCTGAATTCCTATGAAGCCTGAGAAACAGGAGAAATGATAATTGAGGTGAACACTTAGATGATGGATGGTATTTCAACAGGCAGACATGCAGGAAAGTGGAGGATTAGATACTTCAGGCAGATGAGCAAGAAGAAGCAGGTGAAACTTCAGGCAGTAGGGGACAGCAGTCCAGTGTAGAGGAGCAGGGATCGGGGAGTAGAAGATAAGCCTGTTACTGGAGGGAGCGGCTAAACACCATGTACCACAGTGTGTGATCTTATTTAGCAAGGAAAGGGAAATCTCGGGAGATTTCTGAGCAAGAGAATTAGGGTGAGAGAGTGTGAGGAACTCAGGCAGCACTATGAAGAATGGACTGGAAAGACTAGATGAAATAGGGATGGCCCAAACTAGGGAATGACGATAAGAAAATGAAAGGAGGTTGTGTTTTTGCCATTGCAATTTCTGAATATCCTTCAAAGCTCTCTTGGCCAATACAGACTACAGGGATCTTCCCCATCCCAGAATTCCTTTAATAGACAAAGTGAGCTATTCCTCAATCTAGCACACAATCCTTTATCACCATAGCTTTTCCTCCATTTATTATATCAGTGACTAGTGTCCCTAAACAATTTATAAGCTGCCAGATACCTGTACTCTGCTAGATAAAAGGATGCAGAGCTGGCTTGATTTTTTTTTCCCCTCATCACTGAAAAATAATTTAAATTCAAGGATCACAGGCTCTTTGTTTGGAAAAGGAGAATCATTTTTACCTCACCGTAGTTCTAAGGATTAGTGAGATAACATTCAGCACAAAGCACAGGGTCTCAGTGAACATAAGGCACCTGGACCCTCCAAAAACCTTTGATGTATACACCATGGAGGGAAGGAACATTCACAGTGTTCTGTCAACTGCTCAGACGTAAGTTGGTGCACTCACAGCACATCATGCTCCGTCACAGCACTTGCACACTTTGCTTGTCCTTCTGCCACCTCCTCGCTTCCCATTACCATAGTGCAAACTTCCACTAGCCCAACCACACTTCCTTCCAGATGCTGTGTTGCCTAGTAGTTAGGGATCTGTAAACACATGCCTTCCTTTCAACTGCTCACCACTTAAGGAAGGCTAAGGCATGTGCCAGATTTCAGGGTTGGGCAGAGGACTGTGGGACATGGTAAGAAAGGCCCCTATGCTCAGTTCTCTAGAGCTGATGCAAAGGAATACAGTACACATAGGAAATGCGATATATCCACCCAAAGACTCCTGGTGCAGGAAAATGTGGACAAGGCTTCTGCGCGAAAGGTGAAGTTTAAGGAGTAGCTGGCCCTGATAGAGGAGCTGGCACAAGCCAAAGAGCATAGGCCTGAAATTCGAGTGACACTTGGAAGCAAGGGGAGCCAGCTGGATGAGGCCCTGGATGGGTTGAGGCCAAATCCTAGCAAATGCCAGGACGTTGGTCCCACGGTCGAAATGGGGCCATTGAAGGTTGATGACTGAGAAGGAGCCACTCAAGTCCGCATCTAAAAGACCACGGGGCAGGAAGGCACAGGGGCAGCCAGGCTCTGAGCTGTCGCCGCAGCTACAAATCTGTATACAGTCCTTTGTGTTGTGGCGCCCTCCTTTCCGGCACTTTCCCTGTGGAGAGCCCTTCGCCCCAGGGGTCGTTGCCACGTTCTCTCGCCGCCTCCAACGTCTCCGAATCCCTACCACCAGCCCCAGCGCCGCCGCGCATGCGCGGCTCTTGGCGCAAGCGCAGCGCGTTGCCGCAGCGTGGGGCGGGGGGAGAGGGGCTGGAGGGAGGAGGGTGCGCGTCCCAGGTCCCTACCAGGTGTCCGTAGACGTCGGCAGGCTGGAGGTAGAAGGTGGAGTTGAGCAGCTCTTCCAGCTTGCGCGGGACGTCGTTCTCCCGGTAGTACTCCATCGCCTGCTGCTTCAGCTTCTGCAGCTCCCTAGTGATCCCACAGCTGCCGCCGCCGCGTTCTTCCCCCATGGTAGGAGATTTAAGGCTACAGCGGGGTTTAGCCTGGGGGCCCGCGAGCGTCCTTTCGTCGCTAGGCAACGCAACGCAACGAGATCCCGACCCCAGATCTCGCGAGGTTCCACCTGCAGCTGGGACCTCTCACTCCTTCCCGACCCCCTCGCGCCCCTCTCCCTCCCTCTCCTCAGGGGTTGACTCAGGGGTTGGGCTCAGAGACTCTCCCAGCTTCGTTTTCACCACTTTTTCCCGACGATTTTCCAGATGGGGAAACATTTAACTATTTAACCATTCCCTGAAGGGCGTTTTGCAGGAGCAGAGGAGCGTTGACCCCACTTCTACTTGGGGCACGAACCCCGGGTGGCGCGTCGGCTTCCCAGTGGCCCTGGGACTCGGCGGTGCAGCCTTCGCCGTCCGCCTCCTCATTCCTCGAGGCCAGCGAGCTCCTCTGGTTTCGAAGGTGGCCCGCGCCAGGCAGGCCTCGTCCCCTGGAGGCAGGGACATGAGAACCCAGGCTGTCGGTACGCAACTGTGGCGGTCCCAGGAATTCGTTCAGTCAGCTGATATTTGTAAACAACCTGCTCTGAGCCGAGCAATGTGCTGGCTGCACACACTGTGATGCCCAGGAGAGAAACGGTTATGCACTCTTATGCACTCTCCCCGGGGAGGTTAGTGGGAGTGAAAGCAATGCGAGGAAAGCACAGTGTGAGCTGAAAAATGGTTGGGGGGCAATGGACCTTAAAGGATGGTTATGGTTAGGATAGGCCTAGGAGTGGGGTAATGCAGGCAGGACTTTGGGAGATGAAGGGGAATGGAGGAAGGGCCTTGGCTCATGTTCCCTTTCTGGGAGGCTGCCTACTTCCTTCCCTTTTAAGTCCAAACTACCTGCCTGGCTTCCTTACACCTTACTGAGCACCTTACACAGGTATCATTCATGAGGCCTTCCTAAAGTGCGCCTTCTGCTCTAGATATTTCCACTGCAGCAAAAACGGGCCGAGATGGACAGGGTGTACTTGTTCTACTTTTGCCTGTTTACTTTCCCAACTTACGCAGTTCACTTAAAACATCTACATTGCTCTTGTTTGTCTGGAAAACATCATCTTACCTACTCTGCCTGCTTCGTAAGTCACTTAGCATAAAATGAGGAAGCAAGTTAGAAAGCACCTGGAAACAAGATAGTTATTTTCCATAAATGCACGTGTGAAGGTAGATGAATAAAACTAAGCGACTATAAATATTGTAAACAAACACAGATATGCACCTACCCACAGATATGCTCCCTCGGTATTTTCTCTGAATCTCTCATGAAATGTCTCCCTCTCTGTGGTATGAGAGCATCACGGACCTACCTCATCCTCCTTGCTGGATGGAAATCCCTTGATGCTAGGAGCTGATGCTGAGTCATCTGCTCGTCCACTGCAGAGCCTGGGGCCCTGCCAAGAAAGAGTCTGTGCTCTGCTGACTAGGGGCCCAGGGAACTTTTGTACCAATGGAGCCAATATTGTTGCCCTTGTTTCCATTCCACCTTTGAGCCTTTCCTCTGTCCCCGGATGGACGATACCCAGAACTCTCCTACACCCATCTTTGAATATCTAGGTTGAATCCCACATCTTTAAAGAAGCTGCAAGCCACAACTCTCCCTCTGGCCAGCCCTTCCTTTCTTCTGAACTCTTTCCCCAATTTCAGTCTTCACGGATATATTGACTTATTTGACATTTTAATGGAAAAGTGGAAAGTGTCCTGGGCTGGGACCATCAAGTCTCAGGGGCTGCCCTCAATAACCCATTGACCTCTAAGTTCTTTGAGGACACAGACCTGGTGTGTCTCATTCACCATTGTGTCTACAGCATCGGTACATCACCTGACAGAACAGGTGCTCAGTAAATATTTGTTGGATGAATTAATGCGTTTTTCCTATAATTGGTTAATAAATGCTTAACTCACAAGTGTTTGGGAGTTGGATGATACACCAGCCTGGTTTGGAGCAAAGGGTTTGTTTTGAGGAATAATGAGAAATGGGGATGACAAATTGTCTGGAGAGATTGTATAGGAACTAAAGTCCCATTCAGTAGGAGAGAGAAGCACAAATTTCTGAATGCAGGATGGACAAGATAGAAGCAGTTAACTGGCGTTAATAGGTAGGATTGATGGGTGTTTGGTTGTACAGAAAGTCGGAGACCCAGGTAGAAAATAATATAGGTGTAAGGGTCTAAATGATAATGGTAGGAATGAGAATAAATGGATGAGCCAGAACAGGAAGGAAGGATGGAAAAGGCTCTGTGTGATTGGATGGGGATGGGAAACCAAAGACTCCTGAGGTAGGGTTTAGTTCTCTGCATTTGTCAGAAATGGGTTAAATGAGTTGTCTCCAGGGAACATGCTGCACTGGGTTAAAGATAGGTGGTACTTGAGGAGCACTGGCATCCCAGTGCAATGGGAAGACCCAAGTTGCTGATCAAAACATCCTAATGGGTTTCAAGTTGGAATAAGGACAGATGAATGCTCTGGAGGGTAATGGGAGGGGGGAAGAATCCTCTTGAAGTAAGGATATAAATATTAGAGAAGGAGAGGAGTAGATTTAGGTTGTAGGAGAAGGACAAGGAGCCTTACTGGGAAATGAACAAAAAAGACATAAGGAGAATGGAAAAACTCTAAATCTCAAAGTCCAGGGCAAAGACTTTTGGGAACATATTGAGTGGGTGTTTGTGTGGGTGCATATGTGTAGAACAAAGTCTGAAAGGCTGGCCCTGAGCAAGTTAATTTTGTGGCCCTTGGGGGATAGGATCGTAGGGAACTTTTAGTTTCTTTTAATATATGGGTCATATCTAGTTTTCCTAAAATGAATGAGTTTCTCATGTAACTTTAAAAAAATCCATTAAAAATATTTGAGGGAGCCTGGGCAACTTATCGAAATCCTGTCTCAAAATAAAAAGGGCTGGGAATGTAGCTCAATGGTAGAGCATCCCTGAGTTTCAATCTCCAGTACCAAAAAAAGTAAAAAAAAAAAAAAAAAACATTGAGGGAAGGATGTTAAGTCAAAGGTTATAGGAGGATTGAAGACTGAGAAGAGACAATTTGAAGATAAACAGTAATAATGGTGAGCTGCCATCCTGTTCTTCTTTCATCATTCAATTAACAAATACTTATTAAATGCCTGCCATGTGCCAGGCACTGTCCTAGGCACTGACAAAAGAGCAATGACACTTAGAGACTTAGAGTGACACTACAAGTTCTGGTGGTACAGTAGCACGCACATTGACAGAGTCATTATGCAATAAACTGAAATAATAGAAGTGAAAGCCTTTTGGAAGTTTGTTTGCATGGACTTATTAGCAGCCTGTTAGTGTTGACAGATCCAGAGTCAATAAAATGATGATTCTTGAATATTCCCATTTTCTTATTTTCCATAGTTATTAGAAGCACCAGCAGTTTTGCTTGTACTTGTGCTTTTTTTTTTTTTTTTCACATCACATATTCCTTGTTTTACCACCTTGCTGATCAAATTTCCATTTCATGCCGATACTCAATGTCCTGGCACAGTTCCAAAGCATGAAAGGGGTTGAAGGTGTTGCTAAGCCTTAAATTATCAACCTGGGAGTTGGGGATGGGAAGGAAGGAAAATAAAGAATCAATCTGGAGAGGCTCAGTAGATCTAGAAAGTTCTTAGAACTTATCCAAGTAGAGAGGGTGGGACTGAGCTGTCCTCCTTCAGAAAGAGGAAGTGGGGAGAGGCTAGAGGCCCAACTGTTGCCATCCTGTGAGTTGGTGCCTGCTCAGGAAGGCATGCATGATGTGAGGCAGGGAGAATTTGGGAATGAGAAACCCTGGAATGGGATCCCAGTCATCTCAAAGATCTTGACTTCTCAGTAAAGAGGGAGGATGTTTGGACTGATCAGGTTTTATAACTTTTCAGATATGAAGTCTCCTTTTTAACAACAAAAATGAAGCATTATCACCCCCAACATTTCCTAGGAGTTACATACAATGACCATAAATTCGGTAGTACTTCTAGACGCCTTTGTATTTCATTTAAGGAATGAAATGTGAAAAAGAACACATGTACCAACAAGCCCTTATTCAGTGTTGGGGGTTGTTGTTTGGTAAATGTATGGAGTTGGGGGCCCCTTCCTCAGATTCCAGGATGTTCTCCGTGACCTTGGTTGAGAACCACTGAATTGGATCTTTCCATCTTAGATCTCTTCTGCTTTGTAGCTCTGATCCATGATAAAATATCAGGATATATTAGCCTATTCCAACCTGCTACTGGAAGACCCTTAGTTAGAGGAAATTAATCATTCTTCATTCAAAAAGAATTGCTAACTCTATCAGACATTTCCTAAATGAATGAGGATAAAGGGAAATGTATTTGTTCATTTTCCCTTCTTCCTACCCAATACCTTCATTTAAATTGGAACTTGTTTGCCATGACTTTAATGTTCAGAAGTGATTATTTAGATGTTATTTTGGGGTTGTTATCAAGTGCTTATTAATTCTTCTTCCCTGCATTTGACATCTGTGTTGAATATCATTTTCATAGGGAACTAATGAGCATGATTGCAGGTGCCTTTAATCATAGAATCTTAGAAACTGGAGACAGAATAGACAGAAAGTTCTGCCTTTGCTCATCCAGAAGATGGAAGTGATGATGTGCTAACCTTCCCCGACCAATAGAATGGGAAACAGGATCGCCAACCAGGGGTCCCTGTAAAACGAATGGTGCTAAGTAAAAGTATTAGGATGGTTTAACCAATTAAAAAAAAAAGTAGTTTTTTTTAACCTTTTTTGGTTTAATTGCTGATATCTCCTGACAATAGTCAATACCCCTGTGGTAGTAATACTGTATACAAAAACAAACACACACACACACACACACAAACAAACAACAGCTGCTTTTGAGCTTTTTCATAAGCTTGGAACTTTACTTCCACTGTCCCACTGAATCTGCAGAACCACTGTCAAAGGTAAGTCACGGGCCAAGCTAACACCATTAATAAATAGCAGAGGTAGAACTTGAA